CCCTGTCAGGACGACAGACCCACAACCTCTGGGGGGTGTGGTCAGAATCTGAATTGTCAACAGCTGCCCTCAAGAGGATTTTTATGCACCTTTCAATTGGAAAACCACCGAGGAGGTCTAGAAGTCGAGACAAATGTCCCTATTTTTCCTTTTCACAACATTTGATGCAGACTATTTTAGGTCAAAATGATCACGATTATCAAGTGCATCCTTGATAGGTAAAACAAAGTTTTTTTTAAAAGCTTAGAAATTGGAGTCTCTTAGCCTAGGTTGGGGTCTGAAGCTAAGAAGCAGCGAAGGAGAGCTGTGACCTGGCTGAACTCTTTTCTCTTCCTTTCCCCTAGAAAGTTAATCCCAAGTGCAGACACTCTGTTTCACCCCATCCCAGGACTGGCTCTGGTCAGAAAAAAGAAACTCACAAATTTTCATGATTTAAATTGGTTGAACAGAATGTGTAAAAGAATTAGATTTCTCTTTGGTGAATTAGAAAAACAGAGTCCTAATCTCCTAATTTATAGCAATGCTTAAAAGAAAAAAGTGGCTCAAAACAGTTTGGAAATGCCTATGGGCTGAGAGAGAGAGAGAATAGTAATGATTTAATAATCTTGGACATTAAAAAGAATTGTTGCACAATACAGCACGGTGGTAAAGGTTGAGAACAAGGGCTCTGGTGCTGGCGTGCCTGGGTTCAAATTGGAGCTAGACTGTCAGTAACTGGGTGGCCTTGATTTTATTTAACTTCTCTGTGTCCCAGTGCCCTCATCTCTACCACAGGACAATAATACCTCCCCTATAAGGTTGCCGTGAGGACTAAATGAGTTAATAGATGTAAAGTGCCTACAACAATGTCTAATATATTTTATGTTTACAATAATTAAAAGTCTTTTTGCAAATCAAGATGGTCCCAAAAAATTGCATTGTCTAAACCCTACAATTTACAAGCTTTAAAGAAGTTATTATAAAATCAGAATAGAAATCATTTAAAATCTAAATAGATTAAGTTCTGAAAAGTCACATTCCCAATATCCTTTTTTATTTGCCTGAGTTCATTGATTGCCCTCCCATACTTTCCCTTTAAAACACAGTTGGAGGAATTATCAATAATAAAGGAGAAGATAATCTACCTCTCAAACTCCTTTTCTTGCATCTCCAAGATCCCGATTATAACTGGTTATAATTTGTAGACCTTGATTACTTATCATTGTTAACCCACAATTATACACCCACAGTTGTATGCTTCCATTATTGAAAAAATCACAAAGAAATGCCAAGTTAAAAAAAAAATACTGTTGTCTACCTATGTATCTGGTGAGTACTAGGTTTCAAAAATATGTTTAGTGTCTGAATTCCTTTTTAACATCCTTTAGGAAAAAAAAAATGAAACAACACAAAAATCTCTTAAAAACTGCCTATCTCACATCTGTGAAAAGTAGTAGTCTTCATTCCAGCGGCCACCTTCACCAAGAAGGTGGCTTTTTGTTGCCAGAAGAGGAAATCTAATGGTTAGTTATTGCAAGTCCTGGCAAAAACTATTTTTCTGAAGAAAAAGTTTCTAACATGAGATTGATGCTTTTTATTAAAACAACAACTTTACACTTTGGAAATCACATATACAGTATAAAACCACTGGAGTTGATTCCTCCAACTCTTTTTTGAGGATCTCTAGTACTGAGGTTAATCTTGTAATTTTATAGGGTAAAGGCAATTTTCAGGAAATTATGACTAGCACCAATGGTATTTCCACAATTCTGACCAAATTATCAAATTTATGGAATTATGGAATGACAATCCATTTTGTAATAGTCAATGATAGTAGCTCCAGAATTCTTAACAACCTAATGCAATATTGTTGTGTTGGAGTAACTTGAACTTGCGTGACACTGTTAAAGTTTAGATTAAAGGCATTAAAGAATATAAAACAATTATTTTTAACCTATTGAACCAAATACATGTAACACATTAGGAAGTACTGACTGATAGGTTTTGCCAGCAACTGCCCAGAAGAGGAACAAGGTAGTGATGGCCCATGGGATGTGTATGGTCCAGGTTCCCTGGATCTGAGGCTCCTTTTTCTTCACACTAGTATCATAGTTGTTTCCATATAAGGGGAGATCATTTAATTACTCTTTTCTCTTTAAATTTATTTACTGTCACTTTATACTTGTAGGTCCAGCTCTCACTGTAATAGGTATAACTATTATCATACATGGAAAATTATTCATTTTAATATTTATTGAGTGCTTGTTATAGTCAAGGGATTATGTTAGCATTTTTAAAAATAATTTTTTAAGTTGAGCAAAGTTAAGAACTGACATCTATTTATATAAAATTTTATATTTAGAGGTTGACATCAAAGATGATAATATATCATGAAAAAGGCCACACTGGGAAAATGAAAATGCAACAAATTTTACCTGTGTTTGTTATTTGATAATGGCTGATGTAAACAGTTTAAAATCATTATTGTTGGAATTATTATTTTTAATGGTATTAGAAGTAACTGCTCAAAATATCTTTATTTTCTTGTTTCATCAAAGAATGGCAATATATTTTGGTATATGAGACCTAGTGAATAAGCTTCGAATTCGATTAAATATAGCAAGTTTACACAAAGCCATATGTATGAAAGGGGATCTTTTAAAAAAAACTTTATTTGAGAAAGGAAGAGACTTATAACAGAAGGCAAGAAGGAAACATACAAACAATATATTTACAACACAAAACAAGAGATCACCTTCAAGGGTGTAAATTATAATAAATACAGTAGATTTTAAAAGAGACATTTATCAATTAGTTCTAAAATTATTTAAGTCCAGCTTTCCTTTTCACTGGTTCCAGGTAGTTTCTTGATTAAATTCAGAGATTATCAAATTCAAACAATTAACGTCCACCAACTGTACTGATGAAGCTCTCTCAAATGACATTATAAAAAATAGTTTTTTTGTTTGTGATTACATATCTTTGAAGTAATATTATACAAAAGTCTGCTTAGCCACATGTTCCTCCCCAAATAAAATGTATTTTAAAAGATGCACTATCCCTTTTTTATGAGATTGAAAAAAGACTTTAAAGAAAATGAATATTTATGAGATGGAAAAAATATACAATTTTATCTTAGGAATGCCATATTTTTAATGCAAAACAACTGACAAAAAGTCATTTTAATCTGAAGGAATATATTAACCAAAATATGTTGGTAATAGGAAGTGTTGTCTATTATAGCTATTTGTCAAATTATCAGAAGGACTTTCATTATATGGAAAAGTTTTAAACTTTCTAACTTCTAGTTATGTTAATTTAATTTGAATGGAGACTTTTTAAAAAAGGATAATGTATCTTTAGCAGTAACCTTTTATAAGAAATATTTTTAAATGTCACAGCAAAATATAAACAACACGTGCCAATAACATACAGTTGTACAATGTCTACATTTGGCAAAACTGCTATATCTCCTTTGAAACAGGATACTATACGTTAAAATACCTTGGATTTAGAAATATAAATATTTTAATAGAAAAAAACCTCACAAAGATTCTAGGTCAATTTGGATTATCCATATTAAAGGGGTCTTAATACAACGAATCTTTAACTAGCTTAACAAAAGTAAACCTATGAAACAAGGTAAACATATCAAAAGGGAGTATGAAGGAAATGTTCCAGTGAAAAGCTTCCTTAACAATTTCCCTGCTTGTGGTGTTATTTTCTTAGACAATAAATCAATTCATAGAGTGCCCTTTTAAAAACAGAAAGAGTAAAACACTATCCTCCGTTTTTTTTTTCCCCTACATTCCTCAGTACATGAATCACTTGGACTTCCTGTTTCCACAAGGCATTTCCTGTTCAGGCTCGTGGAATCAGCTTTCTGTAGGAGAACAGCAGGAACCTGACAAAGAACTGACTTAAATAAACACAGTCTTCTGTTGCCTTCAAAGTTGTTTGTATTTCATAGCATCAAAGGACAAAGTCCTTCTGAAGGTGCATTATGTACAAGTAGATTCTTTTGTTAAGCCTAACTTCCCTAATTTTTTATTTGCCAAAATGATGTGGTATATGCCGTGTCATTATGGAATTATACTTAACAGATCCTAGTGATAATGATTATAAAATATGATACACTTCTTCTTTTAAACATAATTTTGACTTCATATCAGATAATAATCATACCGTTACTGTGTTTTCTACAATTGTAGATACAATATAGTATCTGATTGGACCATAATGCTGCTTATTACTTTTTGCCAACATTTGCATCTGCTTCATTTGATCTTTTTCAATAGACAGTATCATCAAATAACACAAGATAAACGTAATATGAGCAGTGCTAGATGAGACAATGTAATATTTAAAATAGTGCTGTACTTTGCATTTATATATTTAAAACCACCTCTATTCCTAATATTTTCAATTGCAATCTATACAATAACCTAGAACTATTGGCATGGTAACCAGAACATTTCACTTAACAAAAAAGAGAGAGGAAGGAAGGGGCAGACTACCTGTAACAGTGTTCAAGACTGTAGTATGATACATTATGTACAACAATGTGAAAATTAAATTCTACATATCAAAAAAAATCAGGAACTAATAGAATGTTTCATTGATCAGACTGGGAAACTATATCCAGCAGTCACTGATCTCAACATATAAACTAAAAACAACAGTATGTTCGTTTTCCTTAGAAGTAATTCATGGATCAGGCTTTGGGATGAATTTAAAGCCTATTAATTACTTGGATACTCATGTAGTATAATTTTAGTGTAACAGGTTTTCCTTAGCAGTGGAGTTTCAGTGAAACCTTAGTATCTATATAGAGATCATTATCTAGAGAGATCTCTATATAGATATATCTGCATTAGTTAGACTCCTTAAACACTAAAATCAAATTGTTCAGAGATGTAAACGGATAGGAAACAATATCCATTTACCAAAACCTGCAATGCATTTCACGTTCAGATAATGACTTTAATTACAAATCCTGGAGCTAAATCTTTGCCTATTACCTGTTGCATAAAAGCAGCCTGCTCCCCAGATTCCATTTCCTGGATCTGAGCATCTTCATCACTGTCCACTGGTTCCTCCTTGACCTTCACAGCCCCAACTTGTCCCAGAGTGTCATCCACACAAGCACTGCTGTCGCTCCTAGTGCTGTTGCCACTAGAGGGCGCTCTGTCTTCCTGCATCGCCTGGTCCCCCTGAAGCTCTTCCTCTGCTTCCTCGAGGTGACTGCCTGGTTGCTTCAGTTGTTCAATAGATTTCGAAAGTAGCTAGAAGAGAGTGTTCAGGGGTTCAAAATTCAGTAGTTCTTGGTGGGAACAAAGCAGCAAAATACACTTTGATTTATAATGACTCTACTTCAATATACTCTGATTTCTAATCTCTGAACATCAATTTCAGAATGAATTTGTATGCAGCAAACTCCTCAGTAATAGTAAATCTGAAGCAGTCCCATCATTTTGATATTGTATTCGTGTAGTAGGCAGGGAATGAGGTCTTTAAGTTTTTTTGTTTTCTTTTTTAAATGATTACTCTCTACTACACTTAGAAAATGCTGGGAAAAAGGTAAATAATACATTTTTTCTATGGAAATCATGAAACTTCCACAAGGACAGGTTATACTGAGTCAATTTAATCCAAATCAACCTGAGACTATTTTCCTTAAAAGAGAAAATGTAATGGAAAGAATGAAAAGGTAATGAAAAACTTCCATAATCTCATTCTTCAACAAATGTCAACCACTCTAGCACAAATGCTAATTAGTCCTTCTTGTCTAATTTTCCTATACATAAATGGTCAAATGACAAAACATCTCTTTATATATACTTGCAAAACATGGAAATACTGAATTAGAAATGCTAAATTTTAAACAGATTCAGGATTAAAAAAATTTTTTTTTGACAGCACTAAAAATGTTTTATGAACATATCTAAATGGAAATTGAATAACAGGAAAGAAATAAGGAATTATTTTCAATTTGAAAATTATTGTTTAGACCTTATATTTATTTTGTTAGTCAAATCACAATCTTCAGAAGTGCATAAATTAACTGTTCAATGATTAAAAAAGATAACTGACAACATACCTAACTTAAACAATAGCAAGATACCGTAGTATAAAATCTCAATGAATGGAGAAAAATTCTCAAGTTGATTTCATCTCACATAGTCCTTCTGTTTTATTTGACAATGACGCTATTGACTGATCATCTGCAGATCCTGAACTGTGTTTTCAAGGGTGGTTAGAGTTTTCTGCTGAGTCAGTGCCCATGTAAGCAATATGCCAATTATTGTAACAAGCAGCGCACAGAATCCCACCACTAAAAATGAACAAATACATGAATACAGATTTTTCTATGTAAAATTCAAGTTTACCTTCCACTCACACCTAACTATGTTTTTATTACTAAACACATGCTTTAAAGTTAGAATACACAAGTACTCAAACTTTGAAGAGCATGATAACCTCTTTAGGCTTATAGACATTCCTCCAGTCCACATAACCTCAAATGACCCTGCACACACTGATGAAACCCTTCAATTTCACTCTAGGTAGAAATATTGAGAGTTTTCATTCATTTGTTCAAAAGATATTTACTGAGTGCCAACTGTATTCAAGACAATATACTAAGCATTGGGAAAACAGCAAGTACCCTGCCCTCGTGGAGCTTATGGTTTAGTGTGTCAGAAAGGCACCAAATAGATAAATAAACTTATTCTTATTTTCAAGTACGGCAAATAAATAAGAAAGAAACACGGAGTGTTATAAGAGTACATTTGAGCAGTTGAAAGGCCAGTGGAGTTTGAGCACAGGAAGACGAGGAGAGAATGCTGGAAGATGATGTTGGAGAGAGTGACGCAGGTGATATTATATTTGGGTTGGGAATAATATTCTAGAGAAATAAAATATAACTTAGGATAAACTACATATAAGACCTAAACATCACCAATCCTAAGTTAGACATGATCAAGCTAAGAGAACATATACTAATCAAAATTCATATCAAATTGAAGAAGGCAAATTGAAATATTAATTCCCTTTATTGTTCCTGGGCATTCAGCATAAGGAGACTATTCCCATCATGCTTTAAATGTCTTAAAGTACTTTTCAGGAAATTATTTGCAAGACTTTTGTACCAATTCTAAATACTAATCAGCTCTTCATGTCATCAGTCGATCCTGCAAACCTTGCCTTCATCATTCACCTCAGACGACAGGAAAGAGCAGGTCAGAGGCTCTTGTTGGTATTAGGCAGGTGATGGATTCTGCAAGAGCCCCTCAGAGTGACTACCGTTAAGAATATTGTTGCAGTTCATCTGATGGATGCTTCCTGAGCTGTAGAAACTCTCCTTCTTACTACCAGAGCTTGGCTCTTAAAGTTCATGAGAGCTAGCCCATCAGAGCTGGAGAGCTAGGGACAGTTGTGAGTCAAGAAGACACCTCTGAGAGGCGTTCAAAAGATCCTTCCCATAAGAGCCTCTGTGAGGACAAGAGAAAGAAACTATATGGGATGTGTGGCCACAGGACAGGAACTGAGGGCCATTCATGAAAGGCCAGCCAGAGAGCACATGACCAGTGTCCAGGAAATGCCATGTCAAAAGTCTCTGCTTACTGAGGGGTGACTGCATCTTATCCAGCTTCGGGATGTTTGACTACAGGGAGTATTTAATAACCAAGAGGAAGCTACAAATACCACCTGCTAAGTAAACAGACATTTCTGTTGCTATTCGTCTCCTTCCCAGTCCCAGTTCCAGCACGGTGTCTCAGTGCCTTGACCTCCTAAACTCCCATGGTCTTGTCCTCCATCTACCTCAGCTCGCAAGGTTGTGATCAAATCCTACCCCTGATCTTTACTGGTAACTGTACACTCTCCTAAATCTCAATTTCAAACATTATTCCCTTCTTCTGGTTCATTCTCAGATTCTGACCCCAGTCATTCCTCAGCTCTGCAGGGTCTTGTAACCTATGGCACCCACCACATTCTCACTGCCCATCACTCCTCATTCCTTCACTTCCCTCCTTGCTAGACTAGGTTCCACTCTCCATCATTAAAAATCACGCCCTTACATTACCTTCAACTCTCCCACCCTATTCGATATGAATTTTACTGGACAAATAAGACTTCTAACATTGGTTAATACTAAATCTCTGCCAAACCCAAGCAACTGAATAAGCTAGGAAACAAACAAAGTACAATCATGCTAAGTGTTTCTCTTCAAATTCATGATCATAACCCTCAAATAGGCCCTGGTGGTGCCTGACAGCCCTACTACATTTCTCTAGTTAATTCACTCCCACTCTTTCAATGACTATTTCAAACTACCTCCTCTCTCCTCAAGCCTCTCATCTTCAGACCTTTTCCTCGTTCCCTGCTGATACCTTTGCTTCTTATTTCACTGAGAAAATAGAATCCTCAGAAGAGACATTCAGCATCCTACTACCATCACATTTACCAAGCTGTCCCATTCACCCTTCCTCCTGTTTCTTTGCAAGCAATGTCTGCACTCCTATCTCAGTCAATCCCTCCACTTATGCCTTGGATCCTATCCACTCGTGCAATTATCCACTCTGTCCTCCAGCACACATTTCCCCTCTCTGCTGAAATACTCTCATTTGTACCCTTTCAGTGTACAAGACCTCCCTTGACCACCCTCCTCCCACACCATTATGTACCTCTCTTCACAGTAAAACTCCTTGAGTTATTTCTCTTCATTGTCTTCATTTCTATTTTCCCATTCTTTCTAAAATTCATACCAATTAGGCTTTCATCCACACTGTTTGGCTGAAATTATCTCTCTTGTTAAAGTTGATAATGACTGCATAAGTGCTAAATCCAGTGGCAATTTAAATAGGATATTAATAGGTGTCAGTGAAGGTGAAGCATTTTAGAAAGGATACCAAGACAAAATGACAGCACCTTTGACAGCAACAGACTGATATTAGCAGTGTTGGTGCAGGCAAGGACCAAACTGTTGGTATCCTAATTTACTGGAATATAATTTCCCATATATAGCAAGTATGTCAAAGAAAATCTCTAATACTGACAAAACACCAAGTGTACAGAATATATCATAGGTACATTTTAGCAGAAAACCTTCCAAAATCTGATCTGTTAATGTATGTCTGAGATCACTGAAGTATCCAGAAATCACATCATTTAGTCCATGAATCAAATTTGGTCAGTATTTACAACCTTGCTGACACAGATGTGTATATGAAACTGTGTATAACAATTTTCAGTGTGGAATAAAGAAACAATGCCATTTGTTCCAGCCAGTTCCTTTGGCTTCATGTACCTCTGATGTACTACAGGAAACACGAGGGAGAAAAATGCCAGAATGAATGATGCTGTGATAACCGGACAAGAAGGCCAAATGGCAAAATGATCTTCTTTCAAAGGCGGAATTCCTTAATGCTTTGTGAAAGAAATGTTTCTTGACATAAAACAGTAACTTATGAGAGGAGATCAAATGGATATAAAATGCTGCAGTTGAAAAATTTCTAATAACAATCTTCACTTATTTTATAAAAAGAAGGAATTTCATGCCCAAGAGAAGCTGAGTCATCTCCAAAAAAGATAAGAAACCTAGAACTTTTTATACCCTTCTACTCTGCATTCTCCTCTGACACAGCTATATTCTGATAAGTGAATTAATATAAACAATTCCAGTGTCTCCCCAAGCTCCAAACTTGCATATTCAGCTGCTTCCTTAACATCTTTGCTTAGATCTAGAATATCTAATAGGTATCATAAACTTTAAATAGCTCAGAGATAACCTTTATTCGCATCCCACTCAGATGAATTGCTCACCTAATTCTTCTCATCTGAGTAAACAGCAGTACCCAATTGCACAAGTCAAAAATCTAGAATTTATCCTGTTTTCTCTTTCACTCACCTTTTTTATGAATATCTGAAGACTTAATTAATGCTTAGTAACAATGCTTTGACACATTTCTTCCTAGGTTATGAAGCAAATGCCAGTGTCTGCATGAACAATAACTACCACTTTTTCATCATCTTGAGAATAAAATGTGCTCTTTGTGGAGTCTCACAGAATACAAAAGAGAGAAATGTGTTCTCCTGGAGCCAATATAAATGCATAGATGGAGTTAACTAGACTTCTTATTTTATTTTAGGTATTTGACTAAAGCTGTTTTTGTTCAAAGAGTCAAATTTGCCAGAGTGGAAAAATTAGCAATTAACATCAGCAGGGAAAATCTACAAACAATAGTCACAGAAAACCTGCCTGCCAGGTTTGATGTATTTCAGA